CCTGTCAGACAAGTCATATACCACGTGATGACATGTTAGGCTTGTGTTGAGTTCAAGGACCCTGACCTTGGCAAGGAAAAACAGGTACTCAATTGTTTAATTGCTTTGCGGTCTAGATTTATTATTTATTTATTTTTTTGCGTGTGTTTATAAATTACCTCGAGGGCCGTATAATGGTCTCGCGGGCCGTACACGGCCCGGGGGCCGGAGGTTCCCCACCCCTGGTCTAACTCGACCAACAACCAATCACATGAATCTCCCGCCCCAGACACACAAGCACGCGGTTTGATTGGCTAGAGCTTGTACTGGCATATGATTTGATTGGCTGACGCCTCCGTCGAGGTGGCAAAAGTAGAACATTGCTCTACTTTTGCAGCGAGCACCGCGAGAGAAGCTACGCTTTGCTCCCACAATCCAGTTGGGTGAATCGTGACGTCACCCCATTCAAAGTGAATGGCAGAAGCGTTGAAGCGGCAACGCACGCCGCTGTGTGTAGGCTCTGTAACAGTTGAGGGCGTTGCAACTGCCTTACCAGGCTGTGATGCAGCCAGTCAGGATACTCTCTATGGTGCACCTGAAGAAGTTGCAGTGTATCCTCGAGTCCATGTTGAACCTCAGCAGCCTGGGGAGGAAAAAGAAGAACCGCTGTCGTGCTGTAATTTACTCATTAACTGCAGAATTACCTGTTGTCTTAGAAAATCACCTATTTGTTTCAGATTTTGAGCTCAAAATGTGTGCCCGAATGCACAAATCTGAGTGCATTTTTAAGGGATTTTTTGAAAATACTGTACAATAATGGAATAATACTTCTTAATATTTCCTATCTAGAATTTGTTCCCGTTTTGTTTGGTGATGGCACTCTGAGAGCAGGTGATGGTGACAAACCATTGGCCAAGCAGCATGTAGTCCGAGATGTGTGTCAGCCACGCTTGTCATCCCTCTGAGCTGTCAGGAGAACGTGACTTCTGACAGAAGCAGCCAACCTGCCTCTGTGACCTCAAGGTCGCAACTGGCACTGCTGTAGCTTTTAAATTAGCCCTGTAGGAAGACAGCTCTCTCTCCCTGCAATCCTTTTATTTTCTCCTCCTTTCTTTCTTTAAGCGACTCATGCTTCTCCTATGTTTTCAAAGACATATCACAAGTTCAAGCTTCGCCCAAAGAGTGGGCGATCAACTCACGCAATTTAGCATAAGTGGGTTTCTAGGTGTTTTGGCTCGGAATGTAATCACCACAATTTAAGCCCTCTTAACCTTTGCTTGTGATCTCATGGCCTTCTTCTCTAAGTGGCTCCAAGCTGTAATTTGTCGTGTGCATTGGCGTGCCACTGATGTGACGCTCTGCAGCTATAGGTGATCTTTTTACTTTGCTTTTTATGCACAAAAGCACTAATTGAAAGAGGTTAGAAGAAGTGGAAGTCGCTAAAAGATTAGCGTTGGCATTTACCCCCCATCACACCTATTACTAAGATAATTCCCATTAGCTGACTAAGAATTGCCCATGTATTACAGATAATATTTGACTCACTGGAATACTTTAGCACATACAGTTGCAAGAAAAAGTATGTGAACCCTTTGGAATTACCTGGATTTCTGCATAAATTGGTCATAAAATGGAGGAAGCCACTGCTGTCCAGAAAAAACATTGCTGCACGTTTCAAGTTTCCAAAAGAGCACCAAATATTCTGTGAACAGATGAAACCAAATTTGAGTTGTTTGGAAGGAACACACAACGCTATGTGTGGATAAAAAAAGGCACAGCACACCAACATCAAAACCTCATCCCAAATGTGAAGTATGGTGGAGGGAGCATCATGGTTTGGAGCTGCTTTGCTGCCTCAGGGCCTGGACAGATTGCCATCATCGACGGAAAAATGAATTCTCAAGTTTATCAAGACATTTTGCTGGAGAACTTAAGGCCATCTGTCCACCAATTGAAGCTCAACAGAAGATGGGTGATGCAACAGGACAACGACCCAAAGCACAGAAGTAAATCAACAACAGAATGGCTTCAACAGAAGAAAATACGTCTTCTGGAGTGGCCCAGTCAGAGTCCTGACCTCAACCCAATTGAGATGCTGTGGCATGACCTCAAGAGAGCGATTCACACCAGACATCCCAAGAATATTGCTGAACTGAAACAGTTTTGTAAAGAGGAATGGTCCAAAATTCCTCCTGACCGTTGTGCAGGTCTGATATGCAACTATAGGAAACGTTTGGTTGAGGTTATTGCTGCCAAAGGAGGGTCAACCAGTTATTAAATCCAAGGGTTCACATACTTTTTCCACCTTGCACTGTGAATTTTTACATGGTGTGTTCAATAAAAACATAAAAACATATAATTGTTTTTGTGGTTTTAGCTTAAGCAGACTGTGTTTGTCTATTGTTGTGACTTAGATGAAGATCAGAACACATTTTATGACCAATTTATGCAGAAATCCAGGTAGTTCCAAAGGGTTCACATTTTCTTGCAACTGTAGGTGTTTCTTTTGTGGAGTAGTTTCAAATCTATGATTTTATTATTTGTACACATCACATATACTGCTATGTTGTGCTTTTTAGTCCTCAACAAATCCCATGAAAAGACCAAACAAACAATACATACATACAATGGTTTGTTTGTTCTATATTTTCTGACTTCCCAACCTAGTCTGCTTCACAAGCCAAAGTATGTCCTACTGAAGATATATATATAGATAGATATATATAGATATATATAAATCATTTAATATGGTACGACAATATAGTTTGATTTGGTAAAAAGAGGGCTGGTAGTTTCCCTAAACAGCTGGGCAGCTTTCAACAAAGGTTTCTGAAAAGCAAGCAAATATTGCACATGGTGACTACAGTATTTACAGATTACGATGTATAAGTTATTGCGAGTTTTAGCTGCCTCTGGACTGTGTTTTTGTGATTGACTAAAAATGAACTGCAGTGTATTTGAAAGACCATTTCTCCCAACGCGATGCCATAGCTTACTGATTTGGAGAACTGTTAGACAAGTAAATAAGTTGTATCAGGCTACACTGACATTTCCTGTCAGTACAATCAAGTCATTGTTGGTTTTGTTCTTTTAAAATAATTTTCTTACAGTTTGATAAGAACAACATAAAACATTTTCAGACGTTATCTTTAACTCCAGACGATATTTCATGGAAACGAGGAATGCTTCATTATCATCAGCACCATCCATCCGTGCCCGACTCCAAATCTCCACGGTACTGCCAATATACATTTACATGCACAAAAACCTAGATAACACACTACAGCAAAGGGAATACCCTACAAATAATAATAGGCCCCCTTTAAACAATTCAATATAAACTTGTTCTAGAAGTTAGCGGAATGTACAATGTGTCCACAGAGAATCAGTGTGTACCTTTAGCAACCAAAGCACATGCTTGCCCAGTATTGAATTAACACAGACAAATGTGCAGCAGGCAATAGCTTGTTTTTTTTTATTAGGATGCACCGGCATCCCCCGAAAGAGCACTATCATGGGGCGGTGAGGTGCCTCTGTGCTGCAGGTGTTATCATTAAAACAATTTATGGCAACACATACAACTGTAATGATTCTGTAGATGCCCTTGGCGTCCTAAAATGCACACCATGAGGTCAGGGATGCAATGCAAATACCATAACCTTTCACAACACCCAGTTTCCTGCATGCAGGCTGAGGATTCTGTATAAATATCACATCATGTTTTACAACGGAATTAATTCCCATTACTATACCATTATAATTGAAGCCATTATTATACCCAGGTTGTATCTTCTCTGGGAAAAGATATTAAAGATTTAAAGTAATAAAGAGTGTTATATAAGGCTGTACTGAGAAGTGCTGTTTTCTATTTAGTGAAAAATGTAAGTAATATTTTCTGGTATGTTTTTTTTTTTAACCTGATTCGACACATTGGGCGCTTAAATAAGAAGAATAGATGTTGTATAAAGATGTGTATCGCATTCAGCTCATGTCCATTTGTATGAGCCCCGGTGTGTAATTCCCCACAAATTACCTGACTTTTTTTTTTTTCTAATTTCTTCATCAAACACAGTTAATAAGCATTCGCTCAGACCCTGCCGCTTCTCAGCTGGGATAGACATAACAAACAAAACGGCATCCACAAACTGATAAAGGTTCTGTTAAAGGTTATTGCTCTCCTGTCAACAAGCCATGAGCTGCCTTCTCTCCGCAACACTGCTTAACTCTCTCCACCTTCCCTCCCTTTCTGGATCAACAGAAGTTATGCATCCCGTGGGAGGGAACCACACAGTTTATTATTATGGAGTCAAAAACTGTTCATTGATTGAAGAACACATTACACCCTCAAGGTTGTTTCTCATCATCCACCACCAGCTCTCCCTTCCTCCTTTGTCAGCAAGGCAATAGAGCAGCGGCTTTAGGCCTCTGTGTTTTCTTTGGATGATAAAGTAATGTGTCTTTGTTATTGCTACCAGGACCCCTATTATCAGGCTTCTTCCTACTCATCTCTTACCTTTGCTCCTTTACCTGCATGTTATTCCTCATCTCAAAGCCTCATCCAACTTCTTGTTTGTCTGCTGGTGTTAGCCTTTGGGTTATAACCCCCTTTCTCTACTTAATATTTAATATATCTAAATCCATTATTGAATATCCTAAATGAGCCACAGCCATCCTATCAGCTATTCATTTAGTCTTCTAAATGATTCAACAGTAGAAAGGCGGATAAAGGAAATGCAAAAATATTGATATGTCAAACCTTACACTTGTCATAGCTGGCACCAAACACCTTTGTTGAGATTTTGTGCCTACAACTTTGTTTGGCTTTGTTGCCTTCACATGAGACTCAGGTGGAGTAGTAACGGTGGTCCTCGGAGGTTTCTAATTCAAGCTTCCAATTCTCCCTCCTCATTTTATTCTTGTCACTGTGTGAAATAGAGGATATGATAGACAGTTGATATTAGTGTGTAGTAGGTACTGGTGACTCATTACAGTGTAACCTGTGTGTCTGTGTCCACATTTAGGCTATCTCAACATCCAGTCTTGGCCTGACAACATGACAGACCTGAGTGTCTTCTCCAACCTGGCAACTATTGGGGGAAGAGCGCTATACAGGTACAAAACTGAGAACTAATGATTTGCTGGATAAGAAATGTTTTGGACCATGAGTGTAATATATATCATAGCTGTGTCATCGTCGAGTTAAACAGAGCTTGGTTGTGAGGAAAAAAAGCCATGCTAATAATATCTGTATGAGTTTAGATTTATTAAAAGTGAATAATGTTGCATATCACAATTTTTCTCTTAAACAAGAGTTCCTTCACAAAGTAAAACCAGACTTAATTCAGTGTTGATTGGGTTTATCAAACATTTTAAAGCATCCCACTTAATCAGAGACTAAGTACTTGTGGCTTCCCTGTAAACAAACTGTTGCTTACATTTAGCGAAACGCACAAACAATTATTTTCTGTATCCTTGAGGTCTAGTAAATGTGTCAATGGCATTTCATTTCTCAGAAAGCATTTGACATGCTGAAGCCCTTTTCTTCTGCTTTGCCATTGTTGACACATTGTTGTGCCTCTTGCAGCATTATTGTGTTGATCAACGGAATTGTGTTAAACCAATGGCTGAACTGATTTTTCCAACCAATCATGCATACACTTGTGTGTCCTCGTTTATATATACACAGTCTATGGTCTTCGTGCATGCGCATGAGACAAAGTAATGGTACCCACTGATATAAACACTACTCCTTAATGCTTCTAAAAGTCAATAACTTCCTAGGCTAGGACACCTTTTAAAATGTTCAATCTTTTAACCAGATTATCCGTTTTTGTTATTTTTAGCACAACTAGCCAGTTTCTAATTAATTCAACACAGAACTTCAACATGCTACCATAATGTATTGCAGAGGGAGTATCATGATGTGACATTTCCATTGTAGCACTCTGTAACAAGACAGAGGATTGAATATAGTAGTATCCTACATCTTGCTAAATTATTGTATTAATATTTGTGTGGCTTGGTTTATATATTTGACTACAAATTGATTTAGATGTGACCTGGTTTGTTGTGCTTCCATAGCTAATGAGTTAGTTGGTCACCAAGAAATATGGTTTACATCAAATCAAAACAGTTGGTTGGTTGAGGCCGTGTGTGTGTGTGTGTGTGTGTGTGTGTGTGTGTGTGTGTGTGTGTGTGTGTGG